GTACATTAAAGCGAGAACAAAGCAGGGTTACTTAGTGGCAAATGAGCTGAAATATTTGTTTCCAACAGATTATACAAAAAAAAAAGACTTTCAACTGGCTTCCCAGCCCTGACCATCACCCCAGCCTGACCTGCCATTCAACAGAATACACTGAAATACAGAGGTGCTAACAAGGGGCATGAGTAATATTAAGCCACCCCCAGGTTCAGCCCCTGGGGCTGATTCATCCCATCCTTTCTTAATCGCTGTCTCTTTTCTGTCTTGGACTGTATGTTCCTGGCGGCAGGGCGGTACTCTCGTTCACTGTCTATCAAGCACTACGTGCCCCGGTCGCATTACAGAACCATGCTGAGATCCTGGCAGGACTCGGGGCCCCATTTTGTTAATCAGTGTACTTGCTTATGGAGACAGCTGCTGTCCTGGATGGCTCAGGTGGAAACAGGCAAAAGGTGAAAGGAAATAGTCACCGCATTTTACAGTTTGGTGCCTGAGACAGAGAGATGACATGCCAAAGTTACCTGTAAAGCCTATGGCATAGCCCAGGGGCGGGCAAAACGCAGCCGGGGGGCCAGATGCGGCCTGCCAGGCCATTCTGTCCAGCCCACGGGGCCCCTAAAAAATTTAGAAAATTAATATTTATCTGCCCCTGGCTGCCTGTCATGTGGCCCTCGATGGCTTGCCAGAACTCAGTAAGCGGCCCTCTGCCCAAAATAATTGCCTGTCCCTGGCATAGCCAAATGTTGAATCCAGATCTCCCGAGGGCCAGGTCAAAACCGACCTTTCTGTGTACGGTAGAAGAGTGGTGTCCAAGCAGTAAATCCCATGTTTAAGTGACACTGTGTGCGTTAACAGGCATGGCTTATCTCTCCGGCTGTCTGCAAACAGATTGCTACCCCTCTAGGACTGTTGCTGTCACTCCTCTGTTGACTTTTTCCTAGCCTAATCTCCATAAACAACAAGAACAGATTAATAACTTTCATTTACTGGTATGCATTTGACCTGGTGCTGTGTTAGGCCCAACCCAGGGCTCACATCACCTTATGTCACTCTAATGCAGGGGGCAGCTATGTTTAAGTGTCACATAAGGAGGCATCATCTGATAAGGGCAATATGCTCAGGATAACACCATGTCTTCAGGTGACAGAGGGGGTCCTTGTGCTGGAAGTACTTGACAGTCCAGGAAACCAGAGCCCTATGTGGGAAGTACAGCTCCAGCTGTGGGAGTCAAGACCCCTCCATGTAGTATGCCTGAATGCCTTATGCCTTACTGGAAGAGCAAGTGAATCCCAGGACATGGACATGAGCTCAGAGGCCCTAAACTAGAGAAACATTTGGGCTTCCCCCCATCCTTTGTGGAACACACGGGCAAGGCTCGGAGTCAATGTCTTTGTGTTCATCCCACTTCTAAACTACCAGACACTACCGTTGCGAATCACTTTGGTATCTAGGCAAAAGCTCCCTGACGGGGCTAGCTGTGGAAGCAGTGGATGATACAACACAACCTTTCCCAGTCTCCCAGCCAGGAGAGAGGAAGCGAGTGCAGTTCATCATCTCCATGCAGCGGCCTGCAGCAGCATCAAACTGCAGCTACGGGCATCCAAGCAGTACAACAAAGTGAATGTCTCCCGCCGGGTCAGTCATCGTTGTCCTCATGCAACCTGAGTGAGGATTACTAGAGCAAATAGCACTGACCCTGCCACTCTTCTTACCCTGGCTTCCCAAACTGTACCATCCCAAGGGGCTTACCTGTGAGTCCAGTCCACACAGATAGCCTCCAGGTGAGCTCCAGACAATCCCATGGCTTTGCAAACCTGACACCCTTCCCTGCTCTATTGGGAGAGGAAGAAGCCCACTACCTGGAGAACAGAACTGGCCAGATATATTGCAAACCCAAAAACATCGGATGTCGTGTCTCCCAGTGTTATTCATAGGACAGACTGTAGAGGCCTCAATCGGTATCAGGACTGCATTGTACTGCACCCTGAGCAGATGGATAGCAACAAACTGTCCTGTGTCCTGAGAAAGTGGTGGGAGAAACAAAGGCATGGGGACCATGAATTTACTTGACAAGGTCACACAGCAGGTCAGCGGTAGAGCTGGGAATAAAAGCCATGTCTCCTGCTTCCTTGGTTCATTCCTCAGCCACTCACCCATGCTATTTTCCATTGGCATTACCTCTGAAGGAGACCTTGTGGTCTTTGGACATTGCCTAACAACAACAACAACTGCCATTATCATCCCAGTGCAAATAAAACCCCTGCAATAATTTAACATCCCCTCCCCACCAATTATTATATGTAAAGCCTTGCCCTCTAAGAGTGAACAGAGTAATGTTTCATCAGTAGACTTAAGGAGAACAAAGCAAATCCAATTTATATAACCCCCCTCTCTCTCTCTCTCTCTCTCTCTCTCCCTAGTGAAAGAAATGAAAGTCTCATTTGTCTCACTGTTTATGGAGGGTGGACTGGATAAAGTCAACAGTCTGAATAAATAGCTGGAGGAGTGTTAGCAACACATTTTGTATATACCAGAGTGCATCGTTTTAAGTAGAAGTGGCTGCATTTCATTTTAACTCATTCCCGTTAATGTTTAACTTGCCAAAGCATCTTGAGCAGAAGCTACCAAGTCAGCCTGCAGGTATGAGAACAACATTTTCCCTTCCGACCCATCAGTAAGTTGAGTGTGACTGTAACTTAAGTCTTTGCAATGTAATGTGAGAAGGTTGTAAAGTAGACCCGCTGCTTAGACATGCATGTCTGGTACCTTCTGTGTCTCTGTGTGTCCTGCATATACTCGATGTGTACTGCAACAATAGCGCTGCATGTGTTTGTGAGGGATTTACCGTTTACATATAACATGCAGTCAAGTTGTATGGGGGAAAATCTGTTTTGAGCTTTTGCTCTAAGCACTTAGCTTACTTCCAGTTGTTTTGAGCCGATGGAAGTGATTTACAGAGCTGAAAATGAGAGCAGAATTGGGTGCTGACTCTTGAGCCTTAAGACAAAAATGTTCAGTACTTGTTGGCACCATGAGAATGAGAAAGCTCACACGGACAGGCTGAGGAAGGTTCTCCAAGAATCATACCACTTAGAAAGGTGCTACAAAGCACAGGAAGCACATGATTTACTTAAGGCAATCTTTAAAGCGGTAATCTTTATGCAAATGTCATTTCATCTAAGGGAGAAGTACCCCGTTTAATTTATGCTACAGGACAGAAATAGATGTTGTATTTGAAATGGGATCACCTGGGCTGGGCTGTGTCCTGGCATGGCTGATCCACTTCATTGGCATCTAGAGATATCACCAGAGCTGTTGTCCAACAGGGTCTGGCCTCTGTTGCTCCTGGGACCAAATCCCATGGGACAACAGCCACCGGTGTCCCAGCTGTGACTGGGGAATCCTTTTTATGGTGGCACAAAGCCAACGTCTGTTTGCAGACAGACAAATTCTAGGTGATCTAGTCTTAAAAAGCCATGACAGTCTGGAGTCTGAATTTTTCAAGCAAATGACGAGTGCTTTTGGATGATCCATGTTTTGGGTGCTCAACCTGAGACACTTTAAGGGGCTGCATTTTGAGGGGCTGGTGCTCAGCTTTTTCAGAAAATCCAGCCCCTTGATGGTGATTCCTGCTGGGCTGGAAGCATCCATAACCACTTGTAATGCTAGAAACCCCTGGCTCCCACCATCAGACCTGAATTTTAAACCTCAGTGGAATAGCAATGGTGCCTAACTAGCACAGTTGTTTCTGAAAGACGGTCGCTAGAACTAAAGATAGCAAATTTCCCTAAAAAAAACCGTATTGAAGATGGATTGTGACTCATGGGCAAGAAACTGATTCTCACGGAGAACGTCAAGACCTTGGAGAATTACAATGTTCTTGTTCGACAGCTCACGCTCCCCTTTTTGTGCGGGCTCTTGTTGGGCGGATGTAATCAGCTGAGGATAATCAAGACTTTGTGTTGGTTTGGAAAGATTTGTTTCTCGTGCCACATTGCATTAGCCGGAGAAGTGCAGGCTACAGCAGTGTGTCGTGTCTCTGCCTCAGAGCTCAGTCCTTTACTGCTGCCACAAACCCACACGCCAATGAATGCCAGGAAACAAAAGGACCCAAAGGCCTCGAAAGAAAAGGCTGCGAGAGAGACATGCGCTAGGAAAGTCACCTTCAAAGCAGTGAGGAAAGAAGAGGAGTCCATCTCTAAATCTAAGCCAGTGAGACAAGTTGCATTTATTAATTAAGCAATAAGGATCAATACTCAAGACATTTCCTGTGGATTAATGACCAGCTGGGAGGAGCTGATGGCCTGAGGTGCAGCTGAGGACCCTTATTGCCAATTGGTCATTAATTCCCAGGAAATGCTCTGTGCCAAGGTCTGGATTTATTTTATGGGCAATAATAACAATAATAATATGTATACAGAACTTCTTCCCCCGTCCCCAACCAAGCTGAAGCACAATTAAAGTAAGATAGGACAATTAATGGCTGTCAAACCACATACGAGGTGGTGAGCACATGAACGACACTTAAAGAGGAAGCTGTGGGTGGGGTGGTCCTCTCATCGAAATAAGGGGGAGAATGGTACCCAGGCACCCACTTTTGAGATGCAGGCACGGTCTTTGCTGTGCCCGTTAACGCTTC